ATATATATATATATATATATATATTTATTTAGTGTGTGTGTGTTAAATTATCACATTTATTAATTATATCCTAATATTTTAATATTGTGTAATTATATCTAGAACATTTATGATCGTATATGTTGTAAATATCCTTATAACTTTCAATTATATTTTATTGACTGTACATTCTAATCACCTACCATTTATTTTGTATATGTACGAAGTATACCTGCTTAGGCAAAGTTCCATTCGAGGAAGAAGTGGAAGAGGTGCGGCTGATACTGGGGCTGTCACGTTGTATCATCGTCCATTCCTCAGCTTCAGCTGCTTGTTCAGCAGAGGTTGCTGTGGCTGGTGCAGTTGGAGGTGCTACCGCTGCAGTTGTTGTTGAATCCTTTTGTACGTTATCCAAAGGAGCAGCTGCAGTATTTACTGGATCGTCACGTAGTTTTTTTCCTTCACCTGGGAACTTCTTGGCAGATTCCTCTGAAGATGTGGATGCACGGGCCTCGGGCTTTTGTGTGTTAGCCTTCTGAGTGCTGTCTGCAGACTTTTTATTAGAGGAGTCATTGTCAGCCATCACGGTGACGTTGATGCCGAGTGGATCTAGAAATTGTGAAATGTTGGAGATATTGTCCTCAACGATCTTCAGCAGCTGCGAAAAGGAGTGCCTAGTTGCTTCTTGCTGCGAGTCTTCTGTCGCCTCAGTTGCAGCCTCAGCAGATGGTTCTCTGTACTGCTCCTTAGTCCGCTTCCGCTCTTGATTTTCGTCTGATGGACCAGCACAAATGTCTATTATAAAATTCTCCAGGGAGTTTATAATAGATGGATCAATAAGATCAAATTTACCATCTACGTTGAACACTGGACAGCTACCTCTCTTGTTCTTGTTCTTATGGGGTTCACTGCACTTATGCTCATCTTCTTTGTAATGTCCCGCCTTCTTCACGAACTTGCGTACGTGGTGAGCAAGACGACGAGCGTGATAGCTTGACCATACCATTGGCTGAGTCATACGGACCATGTAATGCTCTGTATGATTGCCGAGTGTCATGCAGTCAATGCATAAGTCATAATCTGCACATTGCATGCATTTGAAACGAAAACCACATATATCCTTATCACACACATCACATATTACGCCAGGATGTTGTATTTTTTCTATCTTTGACATGTCTATTGCCTCTCGCTCTGATTGCGGCATGATATAGAGCTTACAGATCATATTTTTAGCCATCTCATGCAATGCGATCTCCAATTCCTCGTCGGTGGATATGGTAATAGTTTCATTTTCATCATCTATCAATATAAAAAGAAGTTGAATAGTTGCAATTAGTATACCAGATGTTTTCCATTTAATAATACAAATTGACATATGTGTTGTTTTATCTTTGTTGTTCTCTGAATGCCAAGAATAAAATGTATCGACTTGTGTTATTAAATAGAAAGCATCCAGTATACGAAATCTTTGATAAACATCAATTACTGACGTCAACGAGCCTCGCTTGAATTCCTTGACAAGACGAGAAGAAAAAAAAAAGAGAAAGACAAAGAACTTACCTTTCCAGGTGACATTGAATCTCTTGCCCCGCAGATCTGGGAAGATGGTCTGCAGTTTCTCGCGCAGATATACGAAATTCGTCGAGATATCAGGGTCTATGCCGAATCTGCGCACTTCCGTGCAGGTCCACGGATCCTCGTTCACGAGGTACACCTTGAAACTCAGCTTGTTCGTCGTCATGCCTATTTCACGTTAAATCGTCAAAGTGTAAAGAAAAGTTCTGGTAAGAAACGTCCGAAACAGTCCGAAATATCGATGTGCTATCGCTTTTCTTCCTCTTATTTGACCTATACAACTCCGTCAAAAGTAGCACATCGTTTGTGAAGGAGACGCCACGACCGATTGCTTTTATATGCGATCGATAATTCTCGAAACATACGTCACGCCAATACGCGTCTAGATGTCGCAAGCGTCTTCCGACGACTCCTCGGAACGCTGTGTAATCGCGTCTTATTCTCGATTCTTCCATTGTCATTCTATTTATTTCTATACTATTTCTTTCGTTTCTTTTTTATTGATTTCACGACAAGATTCGAATATGTCGGAGGAAAAGGATTTTGCTTAGAAACATGATGGTTTCTGGACGGGAAAAGGTTTTTTTATCAGACGAATTCGAACAGCGGAAATCGGTCGCGCACCGCCATTTCTAAGTGAGTGTGCCTATTTTGACAGATGGTAACCACGTGATCGTATTACATACGATGATTCACGATGGACGTGAGAGCGTCGTTTCGTTGCGCTACAGAATTGCATCATAGAGTATAATAATTTCAACGTTTTTTTTTAATTATATAAACTAGTTGTAGTATTAAAATATTGAATATTTTACTGAATTATTATTTAAGACAGGTATTGTTTAAGGACATGTCCCTCTTGATTTGAGAATACATAATATATGAAATAATTAAATCAATTCGATTTTGAGAATTAATGGAGATTTACGCGTTATTGACCCTCGACTGCAATCAAATCCCTGGTTTTACATCATAAACTATAATGAAAGACGCATATAATAATTAATTAATATAATTTTTAAGTGTTTACTTTAAAACTAAAATATTTATAGATATATAAAATATTTATAGATGATATATAAATGAGAGAGATTATTAAAAATGTATTTTAATTAATTACATTATGGCCGTTTACATTTTACAATTCATACTTCATTTATTCTATATTTATTATTTAATAATTTAATTTATGTTAACATATTTTTGCTAGAACACAACACATATGTCTTGATCTTATTGTGATTTTGTGTTCCTTTTAGATACGCATATAATTCTTATTTCTTCTGATTTCCCTTTTATATATTTTGTAATTATTATTCGTTTCTTAATTGTTTCTGATATTGGTTTATTTTTATCACATATTTCTTTTTTCATTATATGTCATATAATTTACGTTTTCTATTTATACACATTTTTCATTACAGATTAGCTTATTGGCTTCGCAAGTGGCATGGAACGGTCCAGAATGGTTCAGAAGCATTGCAACAGATATAACAGTCTAGAAGCGTCTCGAAAGTAACAGGGAAAAGTGCGCATTCATTCGCCACGATTTTGCATACACGTATGCGCGCGACTCATTTTCTAGATTTGTCTATGCGCGCACGCGAACGGCTGTCGTCGCGTTTATATAACTTATTTCGCTACATTCGCGTTATTACGGATAGCGTAGTGGCGATAAGGTTAAAATAACCACATATTTTGCATAATTAGAAATAAACGCGCCATAATTGAGAACTGTGTCGGTGCCGTAATACACGAACGTTGCGTGATCATCGACGAGAAATTCAAAATAATTGCATTTTTCAAATATTTCACAAAAGCAGCGTAAAACAGCAATATAATATAACGAGAGTTTATTGACAAGATAGACAATTTAGAAAAAAGTATTATTACAATTAAGTAATTAATTAATATTAATCGCAATTATAATTTGGAGATAATATAAATATGTTCGCGGCTAATTAGAATTATTCGAAAAGACAGCTTCATGACTTTATATAAGGTAAAGGAAATATTAGAAAACGGTAATAAAAATAATATCATTGATTCTCTCTGACAGATGACAGTATCAACAACTATTAATTCTCTGATATGCATTAATATTGTTCATAATTAAATTAGCAAATTGTTGTAGAACAAAGTTGTTCACACAGTTGTCGCTGAATCATACATAATATATACTGGTACCATGATTACTAGGCGAATTTGATGATAGTCAGTTCTCTCCAGTCGCGATCGATGAATCATGTTATATACATAAATGTATATGACTTCGAGAATAATCTAGCACTGTCCAGAAAGCAATTTTACAAACAGATATGACAGATGTATATAAACACATTATCAACTTAACGTTGTTATCTGTATTTTTTAAAAATATTTTTACTGTCAATTAATTATTACTTAGAGATAATAATTGTTCGCAATCGGCAACAATAAAGCTGTTGCTGTAATTTATTTAAATATCTAATTTGTTTTTTATTTATTTTTCAGACTCTATAGACTTGGGCTAAATTAAATTATATAATAGATACTATTATAAATATATAATGTTACCATAATTATGTAAAAAGATACTAATATATTACAGTCTATAATATATATAAAATGTATAATATCTAATATTATATTTAATATATTTAAATACATTTCTCTTTATATTTTTTCTGAAAATTGCAAAATTATTTTCTCGAAATGGAAATTGGACATTATACTGTAAAGTATTCGCAGAAATCGGAATTAAATTTATACAGTGTGTTAATGAAGTCGATAGGTTAACAAAGTTTGGAAAAATGTAAAAAAAAAAACAAATTTGGAAGAATATAAAAAAAATTGTTCATACACAATTATGCATAATTTTATTTATAATTATACGTAAGTAATTTTTTTACATTTCTTCAAACTTGATTTTTTCTAATACAAATGGTGCGAAAATCATCTTTTTAATTATTTTTCATGTTTTCACATTACTATTATTATTTCTATTACACTAAAAAGTAATTTTACAAAAGAAAAAAAGGATGTATGAACATGCATGGACATATTTCATATATAATTATATATGTTTATAAGTATTTATGCGTGTCTATGTACGTTTATACATATTTATACATATTCATGCATGCAAACTTTTTTACCGAGATATAATTATATTATATAAAAAATATATGATTTAATCTAGTTGGAGAAAATAATGTTGCTATTTTCAAGAAAAATAAAAGAAAATAAATTATGTTGTCTATCAACTATATTTGATAATGTTCATTCTGACAACGCATGTTTAAGATGCGATCTGCCGATCGTTTCCGATCGTAATTTTCTAATGGTGCTGATATTGGTCAGTTTATACTCTCACAGAATATACTCCCGATGCCGCATTATAAATTTAAATGTGCACTTTCTGTATAGACATGTCCAGGGTCGGATATGAATGTCAATATTTTGAATATTTGTCAATGATTGGTAACGACGTAAAAGTCAACGACTTTTTGCGTAATAAAAATCTTGCATTGTGTGTGTTTACATTCACTTCTGTATCGTCATGCGTCATTGTCAGCGCAGATCTAATCTAAAAATTAATCGCACTTACTTCAATATCTTCGAGTATGTTCATTGTTTGAACTACTTTTAATATACTTAATGAAACATACTTTCTATTTACTATGACATCAATAATCGAGGAAGCTACAATGCGCTTAATTAATCGTGTCATATCTTGCCTCTTATTGCATTAATTATTTAGTATGAATATTTTCAAGAAGGTATCGATAATTCTTCATGTAGTGATGACGTAAAAAAGGCGATTGAAAGAAATTATGTTTGATTGATCGGTCGCAATTAGTGACACATCGCAGAATTATCCATGGAAAGAACCAGTTTGTTGAAGTATCTAAAAATGTATGTAGATATAGATCTGAAAATAATTGTGTTGGACCACCAAAATAATTAGGTATATGGGAATTGAAGCATGAACAATACTGCAAAATGTTATGACATTTTAATAACAAGCTTAAGTACTTTCTACATAATTATTTTCATAGTTTAACAAAATTATTTTCAGATCTGCATCTAGCTAAATTTTTTGATATTTCAACAAGTTCTTTCCGTGACGCGTTATCTGAAGCATTTATTATGCATCAACGTCCCTGCATTTTACCCCACGTTACCCGACAGGGAGGCGTTTGTTCTGGTTGGCAGAAATTTTAACCGTTTAGTTAGTCTCTCCGGTCTATCGCGTTGTAAACTCTGAACCGATTCTCCAACGAAATGAGATTATCGCTTTGTCCACTGTATTCGATGCTGTTTTGCGTTCTTCTCGGAACTTCGGCAGGGAATCGCTTCAATGTCGATACCTTTGTTGATTTGATATTGGATATCCGAAAATTTTATATGGGCTCTGATGCGGCGTCCGTCATTTTCGTCCATCCTGGAGACATATATGGGGATTATGGGGGTCAGTTTAAAATATCTTTCAAATATGATATTATTATTACTAATTGTAAGATATCTCTTGTACACAGAAAAATGATGCATTAGTTTAAATAGAAATAAATTAGAAATAATCTTATCAATTAAGTGTGTGTGTGTGTGTGTGTGTGTGTGTGTGTGTACGTCATGCTATGTTCTTGTGTTGATAAAACAACCATTTGTTTCATTAATATTGTAACTGTGCGAAGCTGGGTTGTTCCATCTTTCAGTAAACTTCAGCTCACTGTCTTATTCTCTTACTCTCTTATGTTCTTACTCTTTTACTCTTTTGTTTATCCAATAAGTAAATTATCTTATAGTTTATCTAAAGATGAAACAACTGGCCTTGAGTTAGCAAGATTATTTAGATTTAGGGCCGGTTGTTCCACCTTTTGGTAAATTTTACCTGTGAGGTAAATCTGGTAATCCACGTATGTGATTGGATAATCTTGCTACTTACCCAACAGGTAAAATTTACCGAAAGGTGGAACAACCGACCCTTAATTCTATTAATACAGTATCATTTTTTTCTATGTATGAATATGTTAATACGTTGCCTTATTGGCGAATTTTGTATGTCCAAAATTACGCAACAAAATTTTTAGTGTTATAACTATATAATGAAAGAGAGAGATATCGTATATTTCTTTAATTCTATAATATACTTACATTATAATTCTCTCTCTCTCTCTCTATAATTCTTACCATATTATATATAATTAAATAAGACTATCTTAACTGTGTTGATTAGCATATTTGTTATTTTTTATTGTTATCTATCTATTTTTTATATCATTATAATAAAATTTTATATTAAGGTAGAATCACACGATGTTCGATTTCTTGAATGATAAACATGCACGCATGCATGCACGCATGTATGCACTTATGCATG